ACTTATTCCAAATTTTATATGGATATCTTAATTTAGTAATGAGTTATGCGCGTTTAAGTGATTTTCGGGAGGGGACCTTGCAATGAATTCTATTGACATAAGATTTTAAGTTGTAAAATTTTTTGATGATATCAACATTCTGACGGAAGTTATTAACAAAAAACTCATTTTCCGGGAATATGTACTTTTGAATGGGAGTGTTATGAATTGATTTTGATAATTTGAATTTGAATTTTGTAACTGTATTCTATGTTTTTGAAACAGTGATGTATTCAAATAATATGTGTTTTGTTTACGTATTTTTATTGAAGTAATTGTAAGGTTCGAATATTTTTTATGGTAATCGCTTGGGTGCACAAAATGCACAATCACCATTTTATGTTAATTTGTGAAGAAGATTAGAATAGAGTAAGTTTCGATAGAACTTTAATTTTGATTTTTTTATTGTCAACCATTTTATTCTTTGAATATAGATAATAAAACACGACACACGATACACATTTGCATCACATGTTGATGCTATCGATTTAAACATTTTGTTTTATTATTGTTCTAATTGGAAGTTACTGCCGTAACACAAATTTTACGTTGCTGCCGCAACATTTTTTATTATTCTATTGATTTGAATAAATGCCGCCACGCCGAAGCGAACGCTTAAAGGAAATTGCGGAAAGTGACGATGAGAAGACAATGATCGAAATGAACCAACCATCTGTTGCCGAACTGAAGGAGGAAATTGTGGCCCTGAAAAACTCCTTACAAAAATTATTAGATGCATCCAAGTCCTCAATTTCATCAGCCTTATTAACTACAGAGACTCAATTGCCTGTTGTGACAACTTTAGTGAATAGTCTGTCAAGTACTGTGTCTCCAGCCGTAGCAGCCAACAATTTGCATTCAACGTTGAATACCACCAACATGCCAGCGTCAACAACGCCGATGCAACATCAGAAAGTAAATATATGTGAGTACACAATGCCATTTCAATATAATTTGACCCAGCAATATACTACCGCGCGTTCGTTTGTTCCTACAACACCCTCTTTGCCCTATTCTAGTGCACAAACATTCGTGCAAACCTCTATGCCATATTATATCACGCATTCACATACCCCAACGCCCTACACTGTCACACAGAAATATACGCCAACAACAACGTCGTCTAATATACCTTCTTTTTCGACCTCAGTAGACAACCTACAACAACGATTTACACAAATGTATACATCAGCCCCGTCACATCAACAGACGTACCCACCAGTGACATCAACAAACCTACCCATATATACTACAATCGCCCCTTTGAATATGACCGATATACAATCTGCCAACGACTGCCGGCAACTTCGTAAACTTCACGACTTACCGCCTTTTTCCGGCCCACCCCGAACAATGGCCCATGTTGGAAAATTTAATTCGTTTACAAAAATCACTCAAAGGTGATGCAAGAGCCAAAGTGGAATCATTTTTGATTCACCCCGATACTGTGAACCAGGTGGTCAGTACACTTGAGTTCCATTATGGTCGTCCTCAGTTGCTAATACGCAGCCAGATTGCAAAGGTGCGAGCCATCCCCTTAATTACTGAAAAGAGAATGTATGAAATTGTTAATTTTAGTGCCATGGTTTCTAATTTGTCTGCATCGTTGGAAGCAGACCCTGGTAAATCAGAAGTAATATACCATAAAAAAGAGAAATCAAATCCATCGTTTACGATTGTGAATGAAGATAATCGACTTACCAAGTGTCCCATGTGCCAGCAAAACCACCTATTGTACCACTACGATAAATTCAAGGAAATCCCTACAAATGAGAGATGGCAATTTGTGAAAAATAATCACCTCTGTTTTGGTTGTCTTCGTGCCGGCCGTAATTCATTTAAGTGCAAAAATAGACGTCAATGTGGTTTGTCAAAATGTGTGAAATATCACAATCGTTTATTACATGAAGATTTAAAATTAAAAGGGGATGAAAATAACATAGTTGATCGCGAAAGTAGTAACACTATTGAATGTCAACACATAAACACTGTTCAATGTGAGGATGACAACAAAATGAACGGAGAGAAAATGGGCGACTCTGTAAATGCAATTGCAATTAGCAATCCAATTAGCGAATTAATTGACAAGGAAACATTATTTAAATATTTACCGGTAGAGTTGACAGGACCGAAAGGTAGTATAAAGGTTGTGGCCTTTATAGATGAAGGGTCAAAAATAACTCTTTTGGAAAATGAAATTGCTGATAAAATCGGACTTCAAGGTACTCCTAATGCTTTATGCCTTGGTTGGATAGGGGGTAAGACGAGTAATGAAATGTCAAGAAAGGTGAATTTTGAAATAAGTGGTATTAATAAAATTATGTCTTTACGACGGAGAATTTAAACTTGCCGTCGCAAAATCTTCAATTTGATAAATTTAGGAGAAAATTTCCCATTTTGAACGATGTTGTTATTGATGATTATTATGATACCCGGCCAAAATTACTAATAGGTCTACCCCATACTAGTCTCGTTCGTCCATCTAAAGTTTTAAATTTAGACGGATGTTTTGCCTTACATCAAACGAGTTTGGGTAACATAATTTTTGGATCGAATGAAATCTCGACCGAAGCAACGGTATGTAAAATTGATGTGGATATTTTAAATAATATTCATAAACAAGTTTTAGATTATTTTACTCATGATGATATGAGAGCTGAGGAAATATTGAATAGTACCACAGTAAGAAAAGAGTCCCAGTACGAAACTGGCCTTCTATGGAATCGGGATATGTTTGAAACCAAGGATAGTTATCCTATGGCACTAAAGCGACTGCAGAATATGGAAGCCAAAATGAATAAGGATAAAAGTTTAGCACAATGGTATATGGCTAAAATAAATGATTATGTTGCTAAATCCTACGCCAGGAAGTTATTACCGGAGGAAGCTGCACTAAAAAATAGTCGTACCTGGTACTTGCCTCATTTTGTTGTAACGAATGTAAATAAGGAAAACAAAAGACGCCTAGTTTTTGATGCGGCTGCAAGTGTAGATGGCGAATCCTTAATTTGAGGTTAATGAAAGGACCCGTAAAGTATCAACCTAAGTTGCTGTTGTCTATATTATTTCGATTTTGCCAGGGTAAAATAGGAGTTTGTGCCGACATCAGAGAAATGTTCCATCGCGTCAGGATTCGAGAAGATCAGACAGCTCAGAGGTTTCTCTGGCGAGATGGGCAGTCTGATAGGCCGCCTGACGAATATGTTATGCAGGTTATGATATTTGGTTCGGTCAGCTCCCCTTGTTCAGCGCAATATGTTAAGAATCTTAATGCTGAAATATACAAAGATACTCATCCCAAGGCTTATAAGGCACTAGTTGATAACCACTACGTCGATGATTACGTCGATAGTTTTGACGATATGAATGAGGCCATTAGTGTTACCAGGGATGTAGTTTATATTCATAGTCAAGCTGGTTTCGAACTGAGAGGTTTCGTGTCAAATTCAAAGGAGCTTTTAACTGCAATAAATGATAGCGAATACATAAATGACGATCAAAGTTTGACAAATTTATGCGATAACGAAACTACAACTGGGAAAATTTTGGGGATGCGTTGGAGGCAATCTGATGATAGTTTTTGCTTTGTTCTGAAGTTTGCAAGAGTTCCAAAGGAAGTTTTAAATGGGGACCGGAAACCAACGAAAAGTAAAGTGTTGAGTCTTACAATGTCTATTTTTGATACCTACGGTTTTCTAGCCAACATTATTATAAAATCTAAAGTCCTTCTACAGGAGTTGTGGAGGAGCAAAATTGGGTCGGATTCGCCCGTTCCTGATGAGATTTATGCAAAATGGTACGTATGGTACAGAAGTTTATATGATATATGTGAAGTGAAAATACCCAGGTATTATGGGAGAAATCTCTTTAGTACAAAAACAGTGGTTGAGTTACATTTTTTTGCGGACGCTAGTCAAGTAGCCTATGCCGCCGTTGCCTATTGGAGGCTGTGTCACCATGGTGATGTTGACATTGTTTTTGTTGCAGGCAAATCGAGATGTGCGCCTCTAAAGCCGCTTTCCATTCCACGCCTTGAGCTGCAGGCGGCACTTCTTGGGGTAAGATTGAAAGAGTCAATAATAGGCTGTCACGACATAAGGCCAATGAACGTCATATTTTGGTCAGACTCCAAAACGGTATTGAAATGGATTCAGTCTGACTGTAGGGCCTATAAACAGTTTGTCGGCCACCGTATCGCAGATATACTAGATTCATCGGAGGTAGAACAATGGCGTTGGTTGCCTGGAGCACTAAATCCTGCGGATGAAGCAACCAGGCCACAGAACTTTTCAAAAGCTTTTTCATCATCAAGTTGGTTGAATGGACCAGCATTTTTAAGAGATTCTAAAACAAGTTGGCCGAAACTCCCTGATGATATTAATGAACATGAGTGTCAAGCGGAGAGGAGATCCAAATTTGTTTTCACTGTAAGTGACAATTCAATCATTCCATTCGAGAGGTATTCAAACTTTAATAAACTGGTCAGAGTTATGTGTTGGGTTCGACGAGCGGTGAAAATGTTTAAGTCGTATCGAAAGGAAATAGCAGTAAATTTTGGACGTCAACTAAGTGCTAAGGAGATTAATGATACTACTGACTTTTTGTGTAAAATGGTTCAAAGAGAAGTTTTCTTAGAGAAGTACAATCAATTGAGAATGAATAAACCATTATCTAAGTCTAGCTCCATTTTTAAATTGACTCCGTTTTTAAGCAAAGATGGCTTAATTTGTTTGTCTGGTCGTATCTATAATGCCACTTGTGTTGTTCGTAGTACAAAAGAGCCTATTATATTACCTAAAAAGCACGTACTCACCACGCTTATTGTAAAGCAATAATATAATGAACAATTTAGACACCAGAACCAAGAGTCGATCTGCGCCGCAATCAGAGTAAAGTTTTGGATACCGTGTCTGCGGCAATTAGTAAGGTCCGCTAAAAGGAATTGCCAAGTTTGTAAAAATATGTTTGCTGTTCCAAAGCCACCACTAATGGGTCAACACCCCGAAGATAGACTTACTCCTTATGTAAGGACATTCTCATATACCCGCATAGACTATATTGGCCCATTTTTAGTTTCAATAGGTCGTCGTCGTGAAAAGCGATGGGTATCTTCATTTACATGTCTAACAACCCGGGCAATTCATCTTGAAATTGCAAAAGATTTGTCAACCGATGCAGTGATATTGTGCATACGAAATTTTGTCAACCGAAGAGGCTTGCCTGTGCGTATAAGAAGTGATAGGGGCACAAACTTTGTGGGTGCAAGCAAGGAGAAGTTTATTTTCGATGATGCAAAAATAATAGATGAGTGTTCACAGCGTGGTATAGAATGGCTGTTTAACACCCCAGCAAATCCATCAGCTGGCGGAGCATGGGAGCGAATGGTCCGTTCGGTTAAAAATGTATTGGCTTTCACATTAAAGGAAAAAGCTCCTCAAGTTGAGACCTTCCACAGTTTATTAATAGAGGCGGAAAATTTAATAAATTCGCGACCATTGACGCATATTCCCATAGAGAACACGGAAGCTGAACCTTTGACACGCAATCATTTTTTGATTGGATGCCCGAATATAGTACAAACGCCTGCTGTACTAGAAAAAACTTGCCTGAGAAAACAATGTCATATACTCCAGAAGTTAAAACAAACTTTTTGGAAAAGATGGATACAAGAGTATCTGCCAGAGTTAACTCGCCGAACAAAGTGGCACCAGCCAGTTAAGCCTATCCAGACCGGTGATATGGTTATAATATGTGATGATAATGAAATCCGTGGGCAATGGAAAAGAGGTGTGGTAGAGGAGGTGTTCCTGGCAGCAGATGGGCAGGTTCGTTCGGCGGTGGTAAGAACAACAATTGGCAAATTAAGACGTCCGGCATCGAAATTGGCAGTACTTGATGTTAGAAGTGAGTGTCCCTGGTCGACACACGGCGGCCGGGATGTTATGAATTGATTTTGATAATTTGAATTTGAATTTTGTAACTGTATTCTATGTTTTTGAAACAGTGATGTATTCAAATAATATGTGTTTTGTTTACGTATTTTTATTGAAGTAATTGTAAGGTTCGAATATTTTTTATGGTAATCGCTTAGGTGCACAAAATGCACAATCACCATTTTATGTTAATTTGTGAAGAAGATTAGAATAGAGTAAGTTTCGATAGAACTTTAATTTTGATTTTTTTATTGTCAACCATTTTATTCTTTGAATATAGATAATAAAACACGACACACGATACACATTTGCATCACATGTTGATGCTATCGATTTAAACATTTTGTTTTATTATTGTTCTAATTGGAAGTTACTGCCGTAACACAAATTTTACGTTGCTGCCGCAACAGGGAGGTATATGAAATTATGGACCGATTCTGGAAATTTTCAGCAAGAATCAAGATATTGTGTAGAAATGAATATATGATGACTTTCATGAAATTATCTTGCATAGTTTTCGAGAAAATTACATCAGAATGTGAAAAAATGTTTACTTTTTCGGAGTTGTTTTAAATTTTGATTCATAACTTTTCTCGATGTGAACCGATTTTGATCATTTTCAATTTGGGTGAATTTGGTTAAATTATCTTGCTTCGTTTTAACGTGAGCGTGTTTTACACAGACAGACAGACGGGCATAGCTAAATCGACTCAGAATTTCATAAGGACCCAGAATATATATACTTTGTTGGGTCTCATAAACCCTCTATCACCACTGATGGTGGTGGAGGGTATAATAATCAAAATGATTTATCTATACACAGAACATACTCATGTCGAGTTTAATAATAAATTATGTGGCATTAAGTGGTTTTGGAACCTTATATGGGAGCTAGATATGGACCGATGCTGGAAAAATTCCTTATATGGAATGTAACCAATTATGGACCGATGTGGAAAATGTTCACGGATGATTATATACACAAAACAAATTCACGTCGAGTTTTACCCTCTCTAATTAAAGAAAAGAGAACACTCAGGCGTCAATGGCAACAATCGCGATCTCCAAACATAAAGGTTAAACTTAATCAGTGCCAAAGAAGACTTCACATCGCCTTAAAAAATAATAAGGAATCTAATCTGAGAAATTATCTCAAAAACTTAGACCCTACTAAGAAAACAGAATATAGTCTCTGGAAAGCTGTTAAACATATGCAATGCCCTACTGCATATGAGTCACCCATACGCCTCCAGAATGGTCAATGGGCAAAAAATACGTCAGAAAAACTTGAAGCATTCGCCAATCACTTGGAGAATGTGTTTACTGAAAATGATACAGATTCTTCTATTAGTGCTAACATTATAAATAATGTGGTTCCACGCCCAATAAAATTCTGGTTCTCTACCGTGAAGACGACAATCAAAGGTCTAAAGGCAGGAAAATCACCTGGTATAGATAAAATTACTACCACGATGATAAGTAACCTGCCCAATTCAGCACTGAGAATTATTTTGTTCATCTTTAACTCGATGCTACGTATTGGATATACTCAAGTGACATCATACCGTCCCATTAGTCTGTTGCCTATATTCTCAAAACTTTTTGAAAAGTTATTGCTTGAAAGCCTTATACTACACCTTAACGATAATTGCATTATTCCTGACCATCAGTTTGGTTTCAGAAGAAAGCACAGCACTATCGAACAGGTACATCGAATAACTACTCTTATTCGGAAGGCCTTCGAAAGCAAGCAATATTGCTCAGCATTATTCATAGATATTTCTCAAGCTTTCGATAAAGTCTGGCACGATGGACTATTACACAAAATTATCACATTACTACCTGCGAATGTTCACAAACTGCTTAAAAATTATATATATGAAAGATCTTTTCAAATCAGGTCTAAAGATGTGATCTCTTCACGTCGAAAAATATCTGCAGGAGTACCCCAGGGGAGTATTCTAGGTCCGTTCCTATATATTTTATATACTGCAGATATGCCAACGATCGCACTGACTCACACATCTACATTTGCGGATGATACCGTTTTTGTAAGCATATATGATAACCCTTCAATAGCTTCTGAACAACTCCAGCTTCACATCGGCGAATTGGAAAAGTGGCTGGACAAATGGAAAATAAAGGTCAATGCAACAAAATGTACTCACGTTACATTTACTTTAAGACGAGAAAATTGTCTTCCCGTACAGATAAACAATATAAAAATTCCTGAACAAAGCCATGTGAGATATCTTGGTATTCACCTTGATCGCCGCTTAACATGGACTCACCACATTGAATTCAAGGTTACACAAATAAAATTAAAGTCAGCTCAAATGTACTGGCTAATTGGACCACGGTCAGCTCTAGACTTGGAATACAAAGTGCTTTTGTACAAAACAGTTATAAAACCGATATGGCTATACGACATTCAACTGTGGGGAACAGCCTCCTCATCTAATGTTGAAAAATTACAAAGAAAGCAGTCAGCTCTGTTAAGGTCAATAACAGGTGCTCTGTGGTACATTCGCAATAGTAATATTCATAGGGATCTCAATGTCCCCATAATACGCGAGGAGATCAAATTCTCTTGTTTAACCTACTTGTCGAAACTAATGGATCACCCAAATCCCCTTGCCAGGGAGTTGCTGTCATTTGAGGGTCATAGACGACTGAGAAGAACGGAAACATTGGATTTTGCCAGATAATCAAATTATCGAGAACTTTGGTTGAAATTGCATTGGCAATAACAACGTTAGTTATAATTTAGGTTAAGATTTTAATACTTATTGTAAATTTCTACATAAGAAAGATTCAATAAAGAATAAATAAAATGAAAAAAAAAGAGTTTTACCCTGATAGCTTTATTTATCAATGAATTATGCGCATTTAATTATGCGCATTTGAATGATTTTAGGATGTGGACCTTATATGGGAGCTAAGACCGATTATGGACCGATCCGGAACAAATTTCGTAGAGTAATTCATATACACACAAAACACATTCATGTCGAATTTTATCCAGATAGCTTTATTTATCTATGAATTAAGCTCGTTTAAGTGATTTTAGGATGTGAACCTTATATGGGAGCTATGACCAATTATGGACCGATCACCACTGATGGTGGTGGAGGGTATAAAAAGGACCTTTTTTAAGGTTTTTCTGATTTTTTCATACATCTGGCAAATAAACCATATGCAAATTTGGTATCGTATGAGAGAAGATTTCAATGACATAAAACAATTTTGTATATGACTCCAAAATTATTACAAATGTAGTTATTTTTCAGAATTTTTTTAGAATTTTCATATTTTTAAATAGAATTTATTAATGTAACAAATTGGAATTATTACATTTAAAGCCTCATATTATTTCACCGAAACGGTTTGTTGTTTACATTATTTTGCAATGCTTTGATAGCGTAAATGGGCTTCGATAAATTAAAATAAAATTCGATCTAGATTGAATTTTGACAAACGGAAAAAACCCGTTTGGTTAAATTTTATTGAGGGTTATTGTGTATTAATTTCATCGAATTATATTAAAGCACTGTTCAGTTATAATCTGGACGCACTGTACTTTGAATTGCAGCGCCTCTGGTGGCAGAAGTAGAAAGCTTTTGAAGTATGTTATTCACCACAGATGTACCGTTATATGTCAAAAATTTCATTCGATTCTGTTGAGGCTTAAAGAAAATACACGCGATGGAACTTGAAACTCGTAAAAAAATTCTGCACAAATTTAATGAAAATCCGACTTGGTCTCGTTCTAAGTTAGCAAAATCGCTTAAAATTGCAAAAAGTACGGTGTGTAGTGTATTAAAAAGATATGAGGAAACCTTGACTATAGAAAGAAAAAAGAAAAATGTAAAAAAGGCAGGTATAAGGAACAAAAAATTGGAGACTAGAGTACTAAGGTCAATTAAAAATAATCCTGGATTATCTGACGCTGATCGTGCTAAAAAATTTAAAACCAGCAGAAGTACTATACGAAGAATTCGCGTAAATGCTAGATTAAAAGCATATCGAACTATTAAATACCCAAACAGAACAGAAAAGCAAGAATCAGTAGCAAAAAAACGTACCAGATTATTATACAGTAATATATTAACCAAATTTAGCGGTTGCATCGTAATGGACGATGAAACATATGTAAAAGCCGATTTTAAGCAAATACCAGGCCAAAAATTTTATGTTTCATCCAGGCGTGGAAATGTAGCCGACAAATTTAAATACACGAAAATGGATAAATTTGGTAAAAAGTTCCTGATTTGGCAAGCAATTTGCAGCTGCGGGTTGAAGAGCAAGGCTTTTGTCACATCCTCTTCAATGACGTCAGAAATTTATACAAAGGAATGTTTACAAAAACGACTGTTGCCTTTCATTAGGTTTCATAAGTCGCCGACTAAGTTCTGGCCGGACCTAGCATCTTGTCACTATTCCAATACCACTATAAAGTGGTACCAAGATAATAACATCGATTTTGTACCCAAGTGGCTTAACCCACCAAATTGTCCACAACTTCGCCCAATTGAAAAATTTTGGGCTATTGTTAAATCTAAATTGAAGAAGAGTGCCAAGGTTATTAAAAATGAGGATTCCATGAGAACAGCTTGGTATAAATATGCTGCTTTAGTTCAAAGGAAAGTTGTGCAGAATTTAATGCGAAGCATAAAGAAACATGCAAGAAATTTCATTCGAAATAAAGAAATTTAAAATTCTTTTAGTTATAATTTTAACCAATAATAAATAATCTTTCATTTTTGATATAAAACTTTTAATTCTGTTGTTTCAATCAAAAGTTATTAACAGTTTTATGCGTCCAGATTATAACTGAACACCGCTTTACTATATTCAGTGTTAAAACGTAAAAAATAATTTTTGCTGTTACACAAAAAACGCCATTGAAAGAGTCACTCAAGGACCTTATGATACTAAAATTTCATATCATTAAGTATGTGTATATGCAGATGATATCCAAATTTACTTTAGTGATCATGGTAAAAACATAGATAATT